CGTGGGGAGCTTCTCATCCACCGACACCCCCAAGTCCTTCTCCTCAGGGCTGCTCTCCAGCCATTCCCCACCCAGCCTGGAGCTGTGCTGGGGATTGCCCCAACCCACATGCAGGACCGTACACTTGACCTTGGTGAACGTCATGAGGTTGGCATGGGCCCATCTCTCCAGCCTGTCCAGGTCCCTCTGGATGGCATCCCTTCCCTCCAGCGTGTCAACCACTGCACACAGCTTGGTATCATCGCAAACTTGCTGAGGGTGCACTCAATCCCTTTTGAAGTCCTCTGTGAACATGGCATTTGTTTTGATATGAACCCATAGTTTCCACTGATGTCAGGACAAGTCCCCACTGCTCTGGAGAGGAAAATGACACCCCCAAATTAGCAGTGTGATCTAGCTCAAGATCTGAAGTACTTGGAACACACGTTGCTTTCAGCCCGGGGGTGCAGGGAACCTTGTGCAGCCTGAGCTTTGGGGTACGTGTGCCCCTCCAAGCAGTCTCCCTGCCGAGTGGCTGAGCGGCACCTCCTTCTGCCCGAGCTGGCAGCTGTGCGTGCCTGCAGGCCGAGCAAGCGGCTCAGCGGGAGATGGAGATCGGCTCGGCGAGCACACACGCAGCTCATTCCAGCACGGGAACCTCGGCAGCAGGTAGGGCGTGCTGGCTCTCCACTGCGGTGGGGGCTGAGGAGCACGGTGGGTAGGTGGAGGAGCGTGGTTAGATGGGGGAACTGGGACGGGGGACGTGGCAGAGCACGCGGTTCGTCCGTTCGCTTGGGCTGGGGATCCTCACCATAAAAAAGAGCTAAAGGAGTTGCACGGTGAAAGCCTCGGAGCTAGAATGGACCTCTAGCGTGAGAAAGGCTTCTGCGCCTTCTGCTGACCTCCGGCATCACCAGTTCCCTTCAGGCAGTTGCATCTCTGACAAATAGGCTCCTGCTAATGACTCTGCTGTTTCTTTACTGCCTTCCCTTCAAATCAGAGCAGTATGGAAATAGAGAGTTCAGTGAAATGTACTGTGAAAATACCGCTGTATTTCATTTGAAAGACTTCACACTCCTACGACTTGGCTTTGCTGTGAAACGGCCCATCTTTTGTTATTTTATTCAGTGACTCTTACAAAAGCCTACAGAGCCACTTTTCTACACCTTCCCACCGAGGCTCTTCTGGTAATTGGGTGATGGTTCTTTCACGGTGAGGAGGAAGGGGAAGGTGGGAGGCAGAACGATACACCTCCCATGCATGCTTCTTTATACGTGCCCATTTTTCCTTTATTTCATAGAATCATATGACTTTGCACAAGTCCAGGTAGGTGACATCAGTTGCTCTTCCCTTGTCCACTACCACTGTAACCCCCTTGTAGAAGGCTACGAGATTTGTCAGGCATGACTTCCCCTTGGTGAAGCCACATTGGCTGCTACCAATCGCCTCCTCTTTGTCCGTGTGCCTTAGCAGAGTTTCCAGGAGGATCTGCTCCGTGATCTTGTTGGGCACAGAGGTGAGACTGACCGGCCTGTAGTAACGGAGTGAAGGAAAAAATAAAATTGAGTACAGGCTACAGATGGAAGGTTGAAATACAGCCAGGAGGACACCCCGAATTCAGGGGGTATCTGGCTTGGTTGGGGGATGGAGTGGGAGAGAGCTTAGGTCTCGTCCTGGTCGGTGGATGGAGGATGCGGCACAGTGAAGGTAGCAGAGAGGCAGCGCAGCACGCCCAGCCACCGCGCGGCCGCCCTCGAAGCGCCTCGCCACGGCCACCCCGGCGCTGGATGCGTCGCGCAGGTCTATTCCACAAGCGTGATCTCCCATTAACGTGGGGTTTCTCATTAGAAGGGGTTCCCACCGCTGGCCGCATCTTTAACGGGTGTCTTTGCCTTCTGCAAAGCTCCGTTGTAACTTGTTAATCGTCTTTTAGTATGTACTTGGGCTGGGGGTCTTCCCTGGAAAAATAATTCCAGCCGATTTAAAAAATAAATGTGTGTGCCCGCTGTATGTGCTAATTGGATAGCTTTGTTAGCTGATGGCACCGCTGGTTGGAATGGGGCGATGCTACAGCTCCTCACCTCTGCCGGCTTGGGGCAGGCTCGCTGCCTGACAGCGGTCTCGGGAACGGGGACCTTTGGCTCGGCTCCGCGGGACAGATCACTCTTTCTTGTGCTTTTGGGTCGTGCTGTGAAGTTCTGAGCTGGAGACTCGTACTGGGGCTGGAGAGTCCAGCTGCTGGTCTCTCCCAGTGGGATTTGGAAAGCTGTTTACTGTAAACAACCGTGAGCACATAAACTTTGTTTTAATCTGCAACTTTTTCACATGAGCACCAAAAAAATCCCCAAACTGAATATAAGAGGAAAAAAAAAAAAATCTGTGAAGGAAAAATTGAAAGTAGCATTGAACAACAACTCTGACTTTTCTGATTTAAGCCTTACATAATTGGTGACTAAAATTACCGTCTTTTTCTTTTTTGGCTCAGTACGTGCTGAGTGTCTGAAGGCTTTATTTAGTCTCAGGAAAATTTTTGGACTACTAGCAATTAAGATCAGTTACATTTCTTTTAAAACTTCTTAACCTGTCTGTCGCAGGATATAATTTTGGAATGAGGTCACTCTGTCTGCATAATCACAACGTATTGTTCGACCTGACATTAAAACAAGATAAAGGCTGCTACGAGTGAGAGAGAGCAATTACAGCTTTGCTATCACAGCCATTAAAATGCGGTGAACGTCAAGTGCTCTAAAAATGTTCTCATCAGACAAAAGCAGCAGAAATGTGACAAAGTGACAAAGTTGTCTTTCTCTTGGGTCAGTGTGCCATTGCATAAGTATAAAGTGTTCCAGTTTTCTATTTAAAATACAGAGAAACCTTAAATTGTTTTAACGGAGCAAAAAAAATACCTCTTTTACGAAAGATTTTAAGATTGATGTCAACATTTGTTTTGTGGATTTTATTAGCATTAGTTAACGAGGGGCATGTAAGTGGTTTTAAAGCAATTAGTAGCCATTATGCGCTCTTTGAAGATCGGCTGCTGTTTTGCTTCCTGTTCTGGTTATCAGCTATTTTAGCTTCAAGTGTTAAATGTGAAAAATGCTGGTATAAGCTTCAAAATGAGCTCAGCTTTTTCTACTGCTTCTATTTTTTTCGTCTTTGTGATCAAAGAGACTCCAACATCTGATCTGCTTCTATAATAATACATGGAATTAATAAAATTGTTTTTCTATGATTAGAGTCCTAACTCCCATAACTAATACTGTAGAAGATATATCTATAACAATAATAAGAATAATAGTCTACTCTGAGGATCTTAAACGTACCAGTTTTAAGCTAAGCCTCGGTGGGGGATTTGTGCCTATTCCACGCCCAGGATTGGGCATATTTTGATTTACAAAATGATGCAAATATTTCCAGTTTATCTTTTCCCCCCAAAGAGTTTGGGGGATTTGTTATACTTTTGCTCATAATTAGTATATGAAATTAGATAATTGTAATTAAGCTCATTCTGGGCTTTTCTGCTTTTAATAATTTTAAGTAATTAGGCTAGTGTTGTGCGTGTTTAATGCGCCTTTCGTATGCTTCCGGCGAGCTGCAATTAAGTCCATTAGAATTCAGCCTGCAGAAATATAATATTAGCATACGGGTTTAGGAAAAATATTTTTCAAAATACAGCCTTCGGTATTTCCTCCAGAACCCAGGCTTTTACATTCAGGAAATTAGGGCTGAATTTTCAAATTTGAGTTTATGGTATTGAATAAGTGCGGTGCCTTAAGCGCTGGGATATTTCACCCAGAATTTGCAACTCTCCCACTGACGTTTCTCCACTTTTTTTTTTTTTTTTTTTTTTTTGGCCAGAGCTTGTCCCACACACATCAGACCCTAAAAACGAGCTGGAGCTGCTCCTCGGTGTCCCGGAGCGTGGAGCCTCGCCACTCCCTGGAAGCGCGACTGGTGCCGGGGCCAGCGCGGTGGCCGCGTGCCATCGGCACCGGGGGATGCTGCGGAGGCAGACGTCCCGCTGGTGCCTTGCTGAGAGGTTCTGGGGAGGTTCCGCTGGATGCTCCTTCCCCTAGATTTGCTGGGGTTTAGGGCAGATTTAGGGGAAGGGGGACGTGGGGTAAAATCGGTGCGTGGCACTAAGGTGCACGGCGCTTCCAAATTGCAAGATGGCACGTGTGGAGTGTGTGTCACCCGCGTGTGGCCCCTGGGAGCAGGGGGACAAACGCTTCCTATGGGAGGTTGCCATTCCCTGACAAGGCTGAGTGGCGGAGCGTGAATAAAAAATGGTTTTATAAGAAGGAGTTAAGATCTTTGTATTTTAATATTGACCTTATGGCCTAATTTTAGCGCAGTCGATGTCGTTTACTGCGAAACGTATCATTTTGCTGCATTTGAAAATAATAATGAGCTGAGTTTTACCTCCCGAGCAAACGCTTCCAGCAAAGCAATCATCTATATTAAGGACCAGCGAAGGATTTTGTAATTTAGTGTTTTCGTAGTGATTTAGCGTGAAGTTCAGCTGCCTAAATTTCGGTATCTAGCACTGCTTGAGACACCGTGGGGCTTGTGAGGCATCTTCCCGCGGCTGCCGGCTGTGGCTCAGCGCCGACGCTCTGCGGAGCCGGAGCCGTCTATGCCAGCGGTGAGCGGGAGCTTTCCCTTGGTGGGCTCCAGCGATTGCGATCATTTGGGTGTGTTTGTTCAGCGCCCAAAATCGCACTTTGCCAAATTTCATGTCCCTTCGTTTATGGCCGGGTGGAATGTGTAAAATATTTGGAGATGAGTTGCTGCATGTCGGTAAAAGCCACTTGTTCCCTAGATGGAGATCGATCTGGCTAAAGGTGAAGCGCGGCACAAAGAAGCAATTCTTAAAGTCAAGGAGGAAGCGAGAGTGGAACTAGACATTGAGAGACAAAAACAGCAAGAACTAATCACAAAATATCAGAGAGATCACGAAGAGCTCCAGAAGAAGGTGTGTAACACTCAAGAGAACAGCTTTGTGGCAGTAGATAACGTAAACTTCTCAGAAATAGCATGTGAAGGAGTAAAACCTTCTTTATGTGTAGTCCTGTGTCTAGATGATACAATATTTTTTCCCAGTCTTAAAGGTCTTTTCCAACCGAAGCGATTTGATAATTCTGTATGTTTCAATAGTGTTTTTAATGGAACAGGTTAATAAGTAATTATTCCAGGGAGTTAAATGGTGTGGAAGTTCTTCCTTTGCTCACATTTTCTCCACCCGGAGTTCATCTGTGTCCACAGGCTGTAGTTGTTAATTATTTTTAAACTGACAACATCATTTTTTAAAGGCCTTGGACCGTTCCGGACTGTGACAGGTTATCACAAAACCATCTGCACTGTTTCCTTCCTTCTCAAATGAATTGAGCAGCGATGGGGTGAGGTCCAGTGGCCGGTTAACTGCTTGCTGGTCTGTGGTGGTGGTGGCATCACAATCGGGTGGCTCTGCCCAGCTACCCAGACCTGCAGCTTTTGAAGAAACCAGTTTTGTCTAGAAATTGAAAATTGTACCTATCACCTTTGTTTTCCAAAGATTTGACATGTTTCTTGGGAATTCTGGAAAAATCAAATAAATTTGATGAAATGATATTGTTGTTTAAAATTTGTTCCATTACGCAGTGTTTTAAAGAGCTGAAAATAAGTTTGGCTTAGTTCGCTTTACAAATATTTGTCTGTGATTTTAAAACCCTGAGGAAATACTGGTTCGCAGTAAAGAATTTTTCCCGTTTTTACCTCTATTTCTCAGTTTGATCTCAGAAATACTAATTAATTTCTCTGTTCTGAGTGAGTTTTGATTAATTTACAGCTCTTTGATATCCTTTGAGGGTATTATGTAAATTCAAAGCATTTTTTTTTTGTCTCTGAGGATAAGTATGTTTGCATTTGTACTTTTTTTCCCCCGAAGTCAACATTTGTCTGATACTTAATTCTACATATTTAACGATTCCCACTGAATGTAGACTAATGCAATTTTTGTCTCATCTAATGCAGATACCAGGATTAATATCCAGTGCTACCAGTAGCTTAAGGGTGGAGACAGAAATTCTTGAAAAGAAGCTACAAGATGCCCAGACCAAACTTGCAGAGAAAGATGAAGATAAGGAAAAAGAAATTCAGAGCCTTAAAAGACTAATTACCGAACTCGAATTTCAGCTGACAGTGGAAAAGAACAATAATGAATCATTTCTGGATAATATGAGGAAAGAAATTAAACACAAGTCAGATGAACTGGAAAAATTAACCCAGGAGAGGACACAGCTGATTCACAATTTGAGTCAGGTTCAAGAAGAGGTAGGAACATGCCCGAGGAAGTGCCTTGCTGTTTTTACTTAGAGACATGTGATTTCTAAAGTCATTCAAAGCATCTGTATTTCAGAACCTGTTAGGTACTGGTTTAAAACCCGTTGAGATGAAAAGAGTTCTAAAACTAGCCCATCTTAATTTCATAAATAACAGGTATCACAAAATACGTGAAATTTTTAATTCAGCAAGTACTTAAACTAGTATTTTATTTTTAAAAAACCAATATTTTTTCAGGTTCTGAAGGGCATTTGTTTCCTAGTCTCTAAGTTCACATCTTGCTGCATAAACATGAGTAAACAGGAAAGTGTCCATTGTGGTTTTAAAGTAGATGACATGGACATTTCTTATTCTTTGAACAGGACAGCAGCAATCCTCCCAGTAACCTTACTTATTTTGGAAATAATTTGTATGAAAAAGCTTCCTCCTGTCAATAGGAACGAGAGCGGACGCAGTCCTTTTCTGAGCGGCGTCTGGGGCAGAGAATGCATCTCTTAATGTGGGAGTATGTGTGTGCGTCCTGCCGTGCCAATGGGGACGTACCCCACCTCCCTCCAGTAAATCCACTTTCTGTAATGCAGGAAGGCATAAAAATTAATCAAATGTGAAAAGAAATTTGACGGATGGATGTTCTTACCACAAGCATTTGCTGAATGTTTGGAATATAATGGGAAGGGAGGGGAAAGAGCTCTAGTGCTCCATGAGAAATGTGAGAACAGTGAAGTCGAGGACTGTAGATAAGATTCAACTAGAATGTCTAAGTAATTAAGTGGCAGAAAAAAATGATAAACAGTGAAAATGAGCTCTTCAAAGTCAATTAGGGCTTGGGTTGATACTTATTTCTTCCTTGAAAAAGGGTCAGAAGGACTGTGTTAGTGAAATTAGAATGATGCTGGCAGTCGTTCTGTCCTGCAACTACATAAAAGGCTCTTGGAAAGACGTGCGCTCTTCGAGCGTTGGTCAGGAGCTTCGGCAGAGTAGGGGACACACTGTTATCCTCGGTCATGAGATTCCACCAGCTCTGCTTGTGTTCTTAATTTTCCCTGCTCTGAAGCAGAGTTCCTCCTCTAATAGAATTATATTAGGAAATGGGCGGATAAGAGTGGTTGAAAACTGAAACTGCTTTTAAGATAAACTTGGCACCAGGGTAAATGCTCAGATTTGCAGGTAACACTTCCCAAATCATTTCATGCACTGTCAGTGACAATCTGAGTAGCCAGGAAAGGGAAAGAAGCGTCTAACTTTCCTTCATTACGTTGTCTGCAGAGTTATATGTTCAGAGAGTAGGTTATTTTGGATGTGTGCATTTCTCCCACTTCCGCTTCTGCATGTAGGTATGTTCCTTCTCCGACAGCTCCTTGGCTTGCAGTTGGCACAGAGGTTAGACAGCCTGAGCAGAACTTCTGTGCTTCCACTCTACATCCACTACAGATGCTTTGACCAAAGTCAAATTTTAAAATCCAAAAAAATTTATCAACAAAGGACTTCCCATTTCTCCATCATTTTTCCAGTTTTGATGGGAACACACATGCAAAAATATAATAGTTTCAGTAACCTCTTCTTGGCTAACCGGAGCTACCACCTTCCACTTTAGTGGGAACATGCTTCTGTGCTCTGACTGTACTGACACCACTATTTGCTCTTCAAACCATCAAAAAAGTGCGATTGAGGTGATCTTTCTTCCACATTTTCTTCCCTGTGTACACCCACTGTCATAATCGCCTGGAGAATTTCAGATGTTTGCCCTCACTTCAGGGTGATACGTGGTCTGACCCGGCACAAAGCTCACACTGATAGTGCTAAGAAGGTTTACGTGGAGACGGTTGTGTCCAGGCGGTGAGGTTGGGCATGACTGAGCGCGCTCTGTTTGACTCAGCCATAGCTCTCCGTGTTGGAGACTGCTGTTGGGGGTTGCTTCCCGTCCACTCGCGTGGACCTCCTGGTGTCAGCAGCAATCGCTCGCTTAGGAGAACCAAAAAGTGGCTATTTCCTGCTTGTACTGGGACTTTCAGTAGTTCTGACTTTTATGACTCAGTTTAGTGATGTTGTCCCTTCGGTTTTATTTACTTTTGGTTTCAGCTGGAAACCAGGGAAATTAGCATCGCAAATAAGTTCCGCATAATATACCAACTTGGGGACTTCTGTACTACTGAGACGGTTCGAGTTATCTGCTTGAGGCCCAGTACCAGTCACACCATTTCGCGATCAGGAATCACAGTGCAAAGTTTGTGAGAACCACTAGACTGAAAATCATTTATCCCAATTATTTGGGAAATAATAATCAATAAAGAATGCCGGCACAAAAAAAAAAAATAAAAAATCAGTGCATAATTATTTAAACTGCAGAAGAGGATAACTTCTTGAACATCTGATCGTAATGAAGTGGTGCGGTAATACTCCAACTACGCATATTCCTTTCCGAGAGCGGCATTCCCAGTCTCCCCCCGGTTGGAGGATGGGCAGGAGATCAGAAGTAACTTCTGATAACTTAGCTCATATTTTCCACTGCCTCCCGAGGGGACGCAGGGTGGGTAAGTGCTGATATATGTCCTTTTGAGCCACTTTCAGAGAAACCAAAGTCTGGGGGAGTGTTGGAGGGTTTGTGTGCCCCCGTCCCCTCCACCCCCTGCCTTAACCTGCGGAGCTGCACAGACACAGGGTTTGACTGGCGGCGTTCGGTGAAGCCCGTGTTTGTTTCTGTTTGCAGAACACCCTTCTCCAGGAAACGGTGCGCAGAGAGTGTGAGGAACGCTATGAGCTGACTGCAGCTTTGACTCAAGCCAGGGAACAAGTACTGGAACTCAAAAAGCTGAGTGGAAACTTCCCGTTATCGCCGTGTTCCCCGGCTCGGGGCTGCCTAACCTCCCCTGCTGCCCTGCTGCCTGCTTACGGACAGAAGAGCCGCACGAGCCCCGGCGCTGGGAAGGAATCAATCTCTCCGGACAGTTTGGTATTTCACGGGCTGCCAAGGCGCCCACCTCCCGC